TATCTTATAATCTAATATTTCTCCTGTTGAAATTGTTGTAAGCTTCTTAAAAGATTATTTAACTTATTTCTAGACATTTTTTTAATTTGTTTTACGTGATTTTATTCAGCAAAATGATCTGCCAGTATAGTGAGATAATTTAACTTTATAAAATTACCTAAAACACATAAATAATGTCTAGAGTAAAGCTAGATAAACTTATTGTAAGAACACAACCATCTCAAAAAGAAGAAATAATAGACATATTGACTCAATTTAATATCATTTCACTTGACATTTTTGTAAATATTATCTTTGCTTGAAGAACACTGCTCAACTGTACGTTTGATTACAAAGAGAGATACTTTAATTAGATTTTCTGCAGTGTAGATTGGAAAAAGTTGTATACAAATCATTGTATTCATTACTTTAAACTTCTTGTCTATACTGACTTATCATGTCTCAGAAAAAAAAATATATATATTGTGATACATAATTTGTGTCATCAAGTATAGTGATGTTATATATTTCATTTATCCACACACTACTAAATCAGAAGTATACAGGATACTGGCTTAGGTCAAAATTTATAAACGGCTCTGTGGCAGCGACATTTAATTTGGATGTAATGTGACACAAGTCCCTTCATTTAAAAATAATAAATAACACTGAGGACCCCTGGCTATATATCATGGATTCCTGAGGACCCCACTTTGAAAACAATGGTCCTAAAGAACCTTTCAGTGGATGGCTAAGTAGGCCTGCAGAAGAGGCCACAGAGCAATCCATTGAAAGGTTCTTTAGGGCCAAGTCTCTCTCTGTGTTAGATGTTGTAGCTGTGTTGAGCTGCTAGTGAGCAATGAGGAGCGAAAGCAGAGGGGTTAGATCCCCCTGACATAAAATAAACAGCAAAACTGGGCTTTCTTGATATTAAAACTTGTGTACAACTGTACCAGCAAAAAAAATAAGCACAAAGACATTTTGTGTTGACTTACTTGCTCACCTGTGAAGACAAAATCCAATTCACTTCTAGTTCCACAAAATAAACTGAAGATAACAAATGTATAGATCAGTTAAAGGACCATCAAAACAGGCAGAAACTGCATTTTATGGCTACTGTGAAATAGGGTTGAATAAACTTTTTTGTAGATGAGAAATGCAAGTGCAAAGATGTTAAGTACATAATGTAAAAGGGGGTAAATGCACCCAAATGTATGCCCCAGTACAATTTTGTTTTTTGCATTACTGATATTGCAGAAGGCTGCATTATGTGAATGATCACGTTTTCATTTTTCATTTTTCGGTGTGAGCGTCTTGACCAGTCACACTTCATGTGAGTGTATTGATGGATCAAGGTAGGTAATGTACCTAAAGTAAATTAGTTTTGGACCAGATATTATTTTGGTCACAGTAATGCAGACTAAGCTTTAACCCTTGTGTGGTGTTGATGTGTTTGTTACTCAGTGGTCTGATAGACCCACCGCATTCTTGTTTTTTTTTTTCTTTCAATACAGCCATATCAATTTATGTAAAAATACCAGATGTTTAAAATATCACAAGTGGTCAGCATAGGGTTCTCCTTTAGCAGCTGTAGCCAGTCAGCAGCCTGTCCATGTTGTCCAGCCTCACACACATGCACACATATACAAACACATACACAAACAAACACATACGCACACACACACACACTAACAACAGGGACACAGCACCTCCACACTTTTATTTCCCACAAGTTCACCCCAACACCACATATGTAATATAAATGTGTAGGGGGTTTACAGTGTGAAGTCACTGAAAATGTGTTATTTTATATGTTCTTCAAAGAAAGTGTGCAAATAATAATAATATCACATCATTTTTTCTTTTGGTAACCTTAAAAATGGGTCCCACAGACCCTAACACCATATAAGGGTTAACCACATCATATTATTGATCACCTTGATTCAATACCTTGCAAGGCATATCACATTCACAACAAGTAGCAATGTTGCAACGCTAGTATTTTGCCCATATTCATGCAGCACTACTATGAGGGAAAGAAAAAATTGCCTTCACAGATACAGTAGAAGATACCCGAGAGCTTTTTCCAGGCTTTGCATGATACCTACTATTTCTTACTTCAAAAGGCCGCAGCATTTGTCTTGCATTTTGTCCTGCACTGACAAGCATTCCTGTCCGGTGTGCAGGATTACAGAAAGAACATATATATATGTAAAGTTGGTGTAGCGTGATCTCTCTGAGTCGGTTCTGGCTGCCGGTATCTCAAAGGGCCACACAGCAGCTCATGCATCAGAAGGACATGATAAGGCTGGCAATGGCCAGATTTTGTCAGGAGTGCAAATGTCTTTGTTTGAGAGACACAAAGCAATATGTCTGCCTCCCTCCAGCTCTCTGTTTCCTTTCTCCGATAAACACCCGGCTTAACACCTTTCCATCCCACAAGCTTATTCCTGTAGAGAGCTGAGGGACATGGTAGCAATCAGGCTCTTTCTCTGTATCTCTCTCTCTTCCTCTCTCTCGCTGTCCCTTCACCAGCTCTCTCCAGGTGAGCTGCGATAAGTTAGCTCGCGCAGATCCGATAGGGGATGAAGGCTCAGATAAGATCCCGTCTGAAAGGGGGAAGGCCTGTGAGCACCACTGCGGCTGGGTTGTGGGGGGCGAGAGGATTGTCTCCCTTGATAAGGAGATCAGGGGATGTTTTAGACACTTTCATGCTAAATTACTTCATTGTATGTAGCAATTCATCTGCTAGAATTATGCTTATGATCAGGATAGGGATTGATTTATGATCCAGTTTGAACATATATTTGTCATTGTGAATGCTTTCGAAAGACCATAATCCACTATCCCATCTGAAGTCTGTCTTTTTACATAGGTCTTGTCTTTTTCCATTGGTCAGTTTTGCAGCATTTTGCTAGGTGTGATGTTGTTGGTGCTATGTAGCATTATTGTAGTATTTTGCCAAAGTCAGTCCAAGCATAGGACTAAATGCAACGTGGCCCCATTATAAAGAATATAAAAAACAATTAGCTTAGGATTAAATCGAGCTAAATTGGACTTTGTGGTGTTTATTCATTGCATTGAATTTGGACAACGGAAGATGTGTTCACAAAAGTCAAACGCAACCCTTCCATTTACTTAATTTTCAGTCCAAAGCACCATTAAAGTTTTTTTTTCTGTGTCTGAAAAAAACAAAAAACATTTTTAACAGAAAATTACACAGAAGCCCCCAACACTAAGTATATCCTCAAATCTCTCTGTATTTAATTTGTCCACTGTTAACTTTTGTGCACCTACTACAGCTGCATACTACCAACAAAAGCTGCTTCCAAAGGAGGATTGTTCCTCTTTAAAGAGACACAAACGTTCACACAAGCAGCTACTCAGACACACCTCAGCTGCCTTGGGAACTTCTTTCTCATATCTCTAAAATGGCTGTGGGATGAGAAAGGGGAAAGCTAAAACATAAATGAAGCAAAAAACACTAGGTTCCAAATCTGACTTTCAAAAATGATTAAAAGATGAAAATGGGATGCTTCAGAACTGTGCAAGCCCTGGTAGACCACCAGAAATGTCCCTAAAAGATAACATTCACAGGTGTTTCTATCCATCCTTCCACTGTGAGAAGATAACTCAAAGTTATGGGTCTGAACGGATGTGTAGCTGTCAAGAAGCCCTTACTGAGAAAAGGAAAAAGATAAAAGGAGTAAGTTTGCAAATCAATAAAAGCCGCTGATGTTCTCAGAACAATAAACTGAATCTAGATCTCAACGTCATTGAATGTGTTTGGATTACTTTGATCAGAAGGAGAAAATGCAACCAATTTCTAAGAAGGAACTTTGGAGGTGTGAAAAAATATCCTTGCAGATTTCTTTGAAAAGCTAAAATCAAGAATGGATGAAGAATCAAGAATTGTTATACAGGAAAAGGGTAGAGACATGGAATATTGAAACGGTACTGTACTGAAACAGTAGTGACACATTTTAAAAATGTAAAATATAAAAAACTACTGATTTTGTATTGAGTCAATAAGAAACGAGGAAAAAATAATCAGCCCCCTGATCCTATGCACAATACAGACCCTCTATACACACACATTTTCTAAACCCATCCCAGCGGTCATTGGGCAGAAGGCAGGATACACCCTGAACAGGTCGCCAGTCCATTGCAGGGCAAACAGACAGACAGACATATACATCCGCACACACACCAAGGGGCAATTTAACATGTCGAATTGGCCTGACTGCATGTCTTTGGACTGTGGGAGGAAATCAGAGCCCCCAGAGGAAACCCACGCAGACACAGGGAGAACTCTACTCAGAAAGGAACCTGATCACGTGGCCAGGAATCGAACCCAGACCCTTCTTTCTCTAAGGCAACAGCACTACCCACTGCACCACCGTGCCACCCCGAGACTCTCTATAATTGGTCTAAATTATCCATGCAGTTGTGTTGTAGAATTACTAACAAGCTCCATGATATACTCAGAAAAACATATTGATAACATGTCCTCATATTGCTGACCCCTAGGTGTAATAGGATAACATGGTGCGGCTAAGGTAACTTATGTGAGTTGAGCGTTTTCGTTTACCTTTAATATATGGATCCTGTAGAGCTTATGCAGAGCATGGAGGATATAGACAGGTACTGCTTGTACATTCTGATGGGGTGATAAGCCACTGTAATGAGAGCATAGGCTGAGGAGCCAATCTCTCTCACGCACACAGTTTTTGGAGTTGCTGGAACACTTGTAGCGAAATATGAATATACTTTCAGATACGCCTACTGCATGAGAAATGAACATAAGCATGTTTCCATGACTACAGTCACACTCTCTCTCCCTCTCTCACTTTTTTGCCTTCTTCCTCTCTCCCTCTCTCCCTCTCTAGTTCTTTGTCTCTGATCTAAAAGCTCAGTTAATCAGTCACTGTGCTTCTCTGCTTGTCTGCTGTGGGCGTCTCTAATGGCAGTCTCTGTATGAATGACTAACCTGGTGTGTGCGCGTGTGTGTCTCTCCACAGAGCCAGCTACTATAGGAAAGGTGGCCGTGCCATGCTGCCAGTTAAATGGATGCCTCCGGAAGCCTTCATGGAAGGAATATTCACCTCCAAAACTGATACATGGTGAGAAATATAATGTTTCCATGAGAAAATAGTCTGCATTCTACACACCTACATAATAAACCAACACATATTAATGGTTTAACACAAAAGTCTACTGAATGCTAATATATATATATATATATATATATTTATGGGCAAAAGTATTGGGACACCCCTCCTAATTATTGAGTTCAGGTGTTTCAGCCACACCCATTGCTAAGAGGTGTATAAAATTAAGCATATAGCCTTGCAGTCTCGATACACAAACACTGGCAGTAGAATGGGTCGTACTAATGAGCTCAGTGACTTTAAACATGGCACTGTCACTGCTAGATCTGCTCCTGTCAACTGTATGTGCTATTATTGTGAAATAGAAGCATCTAGGAACAACAGCAGCTTAGCCACGAACTCACAGAGTGGGACCGCCGAGTGCCAAAGTGCACATTGCCTATTCTCTGTTGAATCACTCACTAAAGAGATCCAAATTGCCTTTAGAAGCAACATCAGCAAAAGAACTGCATGTCAGGAGCTTCACAAAATGTGTTCCCATGGCCGAGAAGCTACACACAAGCCTAAGATCAAAATGCATGATGCCAAACGAAGTGGGGGAGTGGTGTAAAGCACGCAGACACTGGACTCTGGAGCAGTGGAAACGCATTCTGTTAAGTGATGAATCCTGCTGGCAGTCTGATGGATGGGTCTGGGTTGGGTGAATGCCATGAGAACATTACCTGCCTCACTGCGCTGTGCCAACTGTAAATTTGGTGGAGGAGGGATGATGCTATGGAGTTGTTTTTCAGGAGTGGACTAGACCTCTTAGTTCCAGTGAAGGGAAATCTTAATGCTTCAGCAGACCAAGACATTTTGGACAACTGTATGCTTTCAACTTTGTGAGAACAGTTTGGGGAAGAACCTTTTCTGTTCCAGCATGACTGAGCCCCAGTGCACAAAGCAGAACAAAGAAGAACTTGACTGGCCCCCACAGAGTCCTGACTTCAACCCCATCAAACACCTTTGGGATGATCTAGAATGGAGATTGCGAGCCAGGCCCTCTCACTGAATATCAGCATCTGGCCTCACAAATGCTTTTATGGATGAATGGGCAAAACATTTTTTACAGATACATTTCCAAATCTTATAGAAAGCTTCTCAGAAGAGTGGAAGCCGTTATAGCTGCAAAGGGGGACCAACTCCATATTAATGCCTGTGGATTTAGAATGGGATGTCATAAAAACTCCTGTAGGTGTCCCAAAACTTTTGTCCGTGTAGTCTATCTATCTATCTATCTATCTATCTATCTATCTATCTGCTTTTCAGTATATCTGCATGTCTGTCTGTTATTGACATATTTTTACTGATATTTATGTATATATATAAAAATGCTCTTCTGATCTCTCTCTCTCTCTCTCTCTCTCTGCTGTGCTCTCTCTTTATCTTCCCCCGCTGCCTCCCTCCTTCTCTCTCTCTTCCTTCCTCTCATCCTGTGATTTAGGTCTTTTGGCGTGTTGCTATGGGAGATTTTCTCTCTGGGTTATATGCCCTACCCTAGCCGCAGTAATCAGGAGGTTCTTGAGTTTGTCACTAATGGAGGCAGGATGGACCCTCCAAAGAACTGCCCTGGTCCAGTGTGAGTGGCTGCATCATCAGCACTGCCTGAAAGACCCACTGCTGTTTAGGATACACAGAATACACAGAATAAATGACCTCCACTCTGCTCTGTGCACTGGTTTACTCTGACACACTGTCAGAAAGGATGTGTGCGCACTTTTATGTCACATTGTTTTCTGTTTTAACATAATCTGTGTTCCTTATAAAACAAAACAAATCTTTACCTGGACACAGAAATGTGTTATATTCAATAATCATTCACTTTCCAAACAGATGTGCTGGCTAGTTCGGAACACAGTATTTTTAACACATCTGTTCAGAAAGTATATGATTACTGATTATAAATTATGCACAATTTGTTCATTTTCAATCTGCTGTTTACAAAGAACTACCTGTTAAATAATGCACTAACTGCACACAGATCCTGGCCAGCATATCCTGTTCAGTCTAGTTAACTACACAGGACACAAACACAGGCCTTCTGCACGACCACACAAACAGCATGCACAGCAGTCTCTAATTGTTGTTGTGTTTCTTTCTCTTTTTTTTTGGTCAGTGATCACTGACCATTCCCTCCACTTTTGTTGTCTCTTCTCACTTGTGTATAGAACAAACTTTATCAGCTGGGCCATTGATTCAGTATTAATAATGCAAAGCCTTGTCCAATATAGGGCAAGACCACAGAGTCTTGTTTTATATCAAAGCAGAGAAGAGTCTGATTTCTCTGTTTATTTTCCACACCGAAACTAATCAAACCTCGGATGACACCTTCATTCTGTGGAGCAACGGGCACAATAGGTTGTAAACATTACATGAAAACATCGCTGAGGTGTGCAACCGAAATGAAAATTGCAATTAGTGTAAAAACAGGCTTGATTAAATCAAATCTCAGTTGGTTGCCTTTCAGTCTAGCTTTGCTCTCAGCTATCCAAAGGCAATCACCCACACAGTAAACAGCCTTGTTTGGTGTGGGGAAAAAACCAGTAATGAGGAAACAAACAAAACACAAAATTTTAATGAGTCAACTTTTTTTTGTGTGTGTGTGAGACAGATACCGGATAATGACGCAGAGCTGGCAACACCAACCTGAAGACAGGCCAAACTTCTCCACTATCCTAGAGAGAATTGACTATTGTCTTCAGGTGCAGTAGTGGATTTGTGGGATTTCTTCAGTGCAGCTTTTCTGTAATTTCATAAAGTACTGTGCAAAAGTCAGAGACCACATTTCATTATTTAAATCAGTTCTGCACAATTTTCCCCAAATGCAGTCAATCAGTCAAGACGTGATTGGTGTCTGAGGTTCTTTGCAGGTACCTCTTTTTAAGACAAGGCTAGTGTAATTAACAAATAATGGAAGCTTATGACCACCAGTGAGTTTCACACACTCAACTCCACCAACTTTTCTACATTTCTGCATAAATGGTTTACATAAATCAGAGTGGTTTGATGTGAAATGGTTCTTTGTAGAGAAACTTACTGACAGATTTCTTTACAGTGGTGGTGATAGGAATCAAGAGTTAGAATGTCTACAAGACAAGTAAAGCCATTTTATTTACTTTACAAAATGACCCAACAAATCTACTCATGTCTTTTCAGTACTTCTTATAGGTACTGTTGATAATGGTAAAATAATGATACATCTGAAAAAAAAGGAATACTAATAATAATTCCTTGAGGATTACTTTGCCGTGCATGTACCTCTGCACCATGAATGTGATTAAAAATACATTTTGGGCCAAATCCTTATTGCAGAACTTGTAAAACAATGTCTCAGACATCAGGCCAAATATTCTTAAACATCTTTCTGTAAGGGAGCTTTTAGAAGCATTAGCACTTTAGACATCTGGTTCCTATCACCATCACTGCAAACAATTCTGACCGTAAGTTTATCTAGAATGGCACAATTTGCATAAAAAACACTCTGACATTGATTGCAGCTTACTTATTTAATTATGCAGATATTTAGAATCTGTGGAATTTCCTCTTAAGTTATTTCTGATTTATATGACTTATTTATATGATTAACGGTAATGTATAACAATGTTATCTAAAAAAAAAGTAGCAGCCATACTTAAGCCTGGACTTTTGTCTTTTTGTACTTTAGTCAATTGTATAGATAGGTATATTTATCAATTGTATAAATAAGTATTTCATACGGGGTATGAACCACATAAGAAAGCCTATTTGAGATTACATAAGAGCTCCATATAGTTTGAGGCAAATGTGTGATGATTTAGGTTTGTATTTTACACAATGTTAGCCTGGTGGTGGCTATAAGCTTCCATAGTTGTTAGCTACAGTAGACTTAAAGGTCCAGTGCAACACTAAATAAGCGAATTTTGACACCAAACATGCCTCAGATGATCTACATTTGGAATAAGAGAAGACTTGTGTAAATTAGATTTTTTGGCCAAACCGTTCATTTAAACTGTGTCATTGCATCTGTGAATGCAGTATTTATGTTTCTTCCATTGCTCAGGATCCGGATGTTGTGAACGTCCCGCTGCCTGTGGAGTATGGCCCTGTGCCTGAGGAGGAGGAGCGGGTGCCCATGCGTCCGGAGGATCCTGCCGCAGCCTCTCTGCTGGTTGCTCCTCAGGGGGCAGAGGAGGCAGCTCCTGCTCCCTCGTCTCGCTCTGAGGAGGCCAAGAGGGCTGCTGAGGCTCTGCTGATGGGCAGCCACCTGGCTGATGGCAAGCCTGGAGCTGGACCTGGAGCTCCATCCCAGCTCCACTCACACCCGCAGGCCCCCTCAGGACCTGGGCAGCCGGCCTGCAGCAAGGCCTCCACCGCACCCCCCTCAGCCCAGGAGGGAGGCCACGTAAACTTGGGCTTTACCCAAGCCCACCCGGGCGAGAAGGAAAACCGCAACGGGAAGCCTACCAACCTGTGGAACCCTACCTATGGCTCATGGTTCCTCCAGCAGCAGCAGAAGCGGCAGCAAGCCCAGGCCCAAGCCCAGGCCCAAGCCCAGGCCCAAGCCCAGGCCCAGGCCCAGGCCCAGAGGCAGGCCCATGGGGGCCAGCAGCGGCTCCCGGCTGAGGGTCAGGAGCACTCGGGCAGGACTGTGACTGTGGCCGAGGCTCTGGGCCTGCAGCACCAGCACAAGCAGCAACAGCAGCAGTACCAGCAGCAGATCCAGCGCCAGCAGCAACAACAACAACAACAAGGCCTATGCAGGCCTCTATTACCCCCTCCTCCCCCACCAGCCCCCGCACCCTTGCTGCTGGATTCGGCAGCCCTCCCTCCAGTCCCGCTCTACAGACTGCGCCGCTTCCCCTGTGGCAACATCGGCTACGGCTACCAGGAGCAAGGCCTGCCTCTGGAGCCCCCCATGTCTGTGTCGGGACCCCAGGCCACCGCCGCCGCCCCACCACCTCCTGCTCCTGCCCCTCAAATCCCCGGCCAGCAAAGACCCATCACAATGGCCCGGACCAGCGGCCCTGAGGATGGCCGCCCCCTGTTGGTCACCATGGGAACAGTGCAGGACTCCAGACTCCCTAAGATGGAAGGGCACAACGCCACAGTGCTTTAACCCTCTCTCCCTCAGTGCCCACTCCAGAAAACACTGTGCCATCCCACCTCAGCTCACCGCCATGCTTCTCAGCCAAGGCAATGTTCTCCACCTCCCTCTCAATGACGTCTGGGATGAACCCTGACTGTTTTAATATCATAATGACCTCATCAGAGGCTATCAGCACTGGGTAATGCTTTAGATGAAGGGAGGTGTAAAGGGCATTCACAACACTTTATATGAAGATTTCATGACACTTTCTTCTGTGTTGCAAATCCTTTTTTAAGTGCCTTTATGAAACTTTTATTCAGCCTGTACAACTGTGGAATAGAATCACTTGTGACTAAACAAAATGTCAAAATAAAAGTCTCCTTTTAGAAACCTTTTAGATTTCTGGCCTTAAGGTCAATTTATTAAAATAAAATATTTTATGCCATTTAGTCAAAACTAGACAGATGTGGTCATTGATTGTTTTTGAGTCACAAATTGTCTCTCATTTTGCTTTTTTTTTTCCTTAGAACATTAATGTGCTTTTAACAAAGTAAAAAGAAAGCTTGGTACAAGAATGTGCATTTGGCCATTAAGGCTTGGTGCAATTGTAGCTTGGAGCTATTTTTCAATTATGGAACGATTATTCAGTTAATTAAAGGATTGATTTGAAAATAAAGAGATGTCTTTAAAATAGGCTTAAAAGGTGCACTGACCCTTCCACTCACGGTGACCACTGAAGTTCTGAGTCATTTCTGAATACTGGATAGCGTGACACTTTATCTTCAGGGTTCAGGAATATTTTATATCAACACTGAAAAACGTCACTTCCTTTTAAGGATCCAAATGTTGTTCATTAACCAGTAATGAAGAGCTCTGCTCAGAGCGGTCAGAAGTCTAGATGTTTTTTACAATGTTTCCACATCTTTTGACATCTTATGTCTAGTGACAAAATCCACAGTTGCATCACAGGCGACATACGATGACGAAATGTTTCAAAAGGCATGTTCGAAGAATGTGCAACATAGGGAAAAGTGTTTTACAGTCCTCATGTAGACTGTTGTGAATTCTTAAGTGTTACCCAGGACAGATTCTCACCCAAACAGTCTGCCTTCCATGGAACGGGCCTGTTTAACAGTGTAAAATTATGTCAGTGTCCTTGAAGTACAACGGAACTGTTTCTCTCCATTTTCTTCTGGGATTCTGCAGGAGGTACTGCAACATTGAAAGCAACACATTACGAGTTTTAAAGATGACACCTGGAGTCCCTCATGAGAACCTAACCTGCAAAATGCACTGCAGGATTTCAGCTTTTTTTTTTGTTTTGTTTTCTTTTTCAGAGACAGGTGAAAAAAAAACGAGTTTGTTGATGTTTGCTTGCCTGCTTGTTTATTTATGCATTTGTTAATTTATTATTTGGAAGCCGTGTAAATTATTAATGGGTGTGCTTCATAAGCCAAACCGCTCCATTCATTATGCATCATTTTGTTCACTCGTGGACTCGGTTGGCTTTTAAACTACGGCGGTTTTCATCTGACTTGAAATTTAATGAATTAAATGAATCGCTAATGGCTCGTGTTTAACAAACGGACTGGTATTTTAGGCGGCTGAAAGGTAAAGTCATCTGTTGCCATAGTATTTTGGCGGGGGGAGGGGGGGTTGGGGTGGATGACTGGTCAGGGAAAATGCCATGTCTGTGACTGATTTTTACTGCTGTATGAATTCTGCAGGATTTTTTTTTCTGTATGTGAGTGTGTGTGTGTGTGTGTGTGTGTGTGTGTGTGTGTGTGTGTGTGTGCGTGCGACTCTTGTGAAAGAGGTGTAAATTTGTGTATTTAACTCAAAGGGGAATTGAGGAACTGATCCCTCTCATTCCATCTATTTTCAGTTAACCTGTGGCTTCCGGATGAAGCTTTTGTGTATATAAGAGCCGTAGCCCTATTTGCAGAGAAATTAATTATTGCTCTTTGGTCCTTTGGTTTCAGTTTACTTCAATAAATGGCTCATTTTAAGCATATTTACCAGGGGCATACATCATTTAATTAGAATTTCTTATACTACTGTTTACACAGACCTGCTGTCCAATCTCTCAAAACACATTTGCTCTTATTCTGTTCCTTTAATCTGCTGCTTCAACATACAGTATCGGGTTTGCATTGTTTTATAAAGGTATTTTGTAGCAGAGAGTCAGTCCTTAGCAGAGAGATTTTACAAAGGAATGGCCTTCACATATTTTCTCTTGGGTTTACTTGGGAAAAGTTTTTGTTAACAAGTGGCTTTGATATGAAGAAAAAAAAAAGTCCAATTATTTTATTCATTTATAACTTCTTTACACTGACGTGATTATTCTGAAGGATTTTACAAAGCAGGCTGTTTACACCAGTCCTGGTTGAGTGAATGAGTATATTAATGAATGAGTGCATTTGTTCAGTGCTTTTCTAGACTCAAAGTTTACTCAAAGCACTTTACATGTAATGACCCACCACCGACGCATAGCGCCAGTCTGGCTGGCGTGAAGAAAGCCCCTCCAATGTGGTAGCAAGATGGTGAGGGAGAGCATTTGTGCCAGTTTGAGTTGGGGGTCTTTTCGGAGGCTGTGATTGATGAGTCAGAGTAAGGAATTTGGCGAGGAGGCTGCGCTGCTGATGTGCAAGAAATGTCTTGGGACTTTTTAATCACCCGGAGTCAGAAGCCAGGTTTTATGCGCCATCCGAAAGACAAAGCAGTGAAGACTCAGCGCCACAGCAGAAACTACGCTAAGCAGGAGCTAAGCAGATTACTGTGAAGAGAAAAGCTCTGTTGCATAACGAAGATAGGTTTTTATTTTCTTTGTCGATTTCCGTACAGAAGTGATACCACTTGTAAAGATGTTGTAACTGTATCATGTATCTTTTCATCCTCTGTAAGTTGAATTTCAAAAATGAGATCTAAAAAGAGAATAATAACTCTAATAAAGCACTATTTAATAACTGGTTTTGCTCCAAAACATTAAACATTAGAAGGGTTTAACTAATCCATATACTTCCTAAACCATCTGACACATGTACACTTCCGCTCAAAAGTTCAGAATCGCTTGCTGTATTAACAATTTGTGATTTTTAGATACATTAATATTGTATACAATATGCATTTAAATATTACAATCTATTCATCAAAAGGTATTTTTTAGATTGTGAAAATATTTTGTCTTTTTCAGTATTTCAAGAATTGTTAATGTTTTTGAATTATAAATATTTAAAATTTTTGTACATTTTTGTTCAAGATGTGTTGAGATTTGATCTCCGCTTTTAAAATATGAATTTTGGACATTTTTGAATAGTTTTATTAGACCTAAATTCTTGAGGTTAGACAGCTTTCTTAGTCATTTTAGAATCTTCTACAGCTCTATTCATAATTTTATCTACGTATATATCTACTTCTTGAACAGTGGAGCATAGAAAGTAATGAATTGTGAAATAATGAATGTTCTAACTTACCGAATGAGCAGGAAATGTTTTGACAGCAACAAGTTTCACCAAATCACTGCAGGACCTTGAACTTGCTCTGAGAAACTGTAAAGCCCTGCACACGCCAAGTTAACCAGCTTAGTCTTTAAGCTACACTCAAAGGAATGGAGCCCGGAAATCCGTACTTATTGCTTTAAATATTTGTATAACTTAATACATGCAGCCACTGATGCGTTATGTGCTGGAATTAAGACATGCAATTGAATTTGAAATCATTTTTTTTTATTAGAATCTTTATCAGTTGGATATTTGACAAGAACCCTTTTGTTCACTACATGTAAATTAACCATAGAGTTCAGTTCTGTAACTAAAGCAGTCGCTCATATAAACCCAGACAAACTATACATCAAACACTCTGCTGAACACAATGAACCATCCACACTACAGAATACAGAGCACGATCAGCCCTGAAGGGAAAGACCTCTTCCGTCTCTGTTTGGGCTTAGTTTAGTCTCTGGTCTCCATCCCAGGCAGCAGAAACTCTTTTTCATCCCATTTCACATTGGAATAGAGCGCAGTGCAGTCTGATTGGTTGTAAATACTAATGGCAGGAAAGCGAGTGACAGAGCTACTTACTCACAGGCCTGTTACAGGATTCAGCAGGCTGATATGATAAGATCCAAAATCTCTCATCTCCTAAAGGATGGTGGCTGGGAAGGCTGGGATCACTTTAGTGGTAAGCTAAAGGGGACTTTCACCGATAAGTCATAATTTCTGCATAACTGTTGATGTTGAGAAATTGTAAACCAGCGGTCACAATGTCAACAAAGCAAATGTAGCCCTTTACCTACACTCTTAAAGAAGATGGTGCTTCAAGGGTTCTTTAGTAAAGAAAACGGTTCTGTATAGAACCATGAACACTCAAAGAATCCTTTGCATGATTAAAGGGTTCTCTGCATCATGAAAAGTTCTTTGGGATAATGGAAATGTGCATGAATGTGCTATATAAAGCCTTTTTAGCACCAAAAAGGGTTCTTCTATTGTGCACATGACACTAACAATAGAAGAACCCTTTTTGGTGCCATCTACAGCACATTCGCCATCAGTCTAAAGAACCCTTTTATGATGCAGAGAACGCTTTAATCATTCAAAAGTTTGTTTTTTTTTTTTAATGTTCATGGTCCTATACAGAACCATTTTTTTTAACTAAAGAACCCTTACAGCACCTTTTTTCAAGAGTATATATATATATATATATATATACACACACACACACACACACACACACACACACACACACTGTAGTACTAAACATTTAAAAGATTAAAAGTTTTCTTAAGGTACTGTTTTGCCTTAAAACACCCTGTATGTACCTCTCTGCTATGAATGTATTTTAAAAAACATTTTAAAGGCATTTCACTCTTCAGATGTCTGGTTCTGACTCAGAAAGAGCATTTCACATCTAACATCCCTCAGAACGATTTTGTTTACATCTTAACCCTTTAATTATGCAGAAACTTTGCAAAATCGGTGGAAGTCCAGCAGATGCTAATACTTGGAACTGACATCTACGCTCCACCCACAAATGCATTCTTTTGCAACAACTACTGTGAAGTTTCAAAGCTTTACTGAACACTGGCAAAGTCCTATTCAATCTATAGCTCATGCAGTCAGAGGAGATCAGATGAAGGTGTTTTTTTGCTAACAATAATAATAATAATTTGCTAATAATAGCACAATGGTAAGTTTTCATTTCTAACTCTGTGTAGTTTCCATTAGCTACAACAACATAGTACAGCTCAGCAACACAGCATTTAAACAGGAGACATTTTGTATCATCTCCAAGCAAACATTGCTACATTTTTTTGTGGACACTGACAGGTTAAACGCTTTTATGTCGAAATAGAATATGAGTGCAAATTTTAAGAGTTGCAAGTTTTAATTATAGCCTATTATCAACAAGTTTTAAGTAGGGAAATTGAACCTAATAACACAGAGCTTGTGAACTGCCTATAGATGAGTTAGACCAAATCATAAGCAACCATCCTGTGCTGTGTGCATGACAGCATAACCACAATTACCTGGCAGTCTGGCGTACTACATACAGCATTCAAGACCTTACTGTATTGAAAATAAATGCAATTTAAATCACAATATTCATCAAAAAAAATAGTGAAGGAAAGCATTTGTGAGCGGAGCATGGGGGAGTCAATTGCGCTAAGTTCGCTAGTTTCTCACTAACCACTAAATATTTCTTAAATAATTCAAGTAATTTGACGCATTTAGTGCAAAAGTACAATGGGATAGCAACACGCAACTGGCAAAAGAAGTACTTTTTGTTAGGTAGAAAACATTTTCTTCTTTCTTGCTGCCAACAGGTTTGTAACTTCTACCTGCTGAGATAATAACCTGGATTTTCCTTCAGCTAGGGAATGAAATCCATTCACTAAATTCCAAATATAATTATATGATACTTTTTGTACATAAATTATGGTATAATAATACATGCAGCTTCAGGAAAAATAGACTTATTTTTATCGATATTATTATTTATATCTGTAACAATGAAACTGGGCATTTTTAATTAAACAGGGCTATTTAACATTGCCTTTCAAAACACTGACAAAGTTCCCTCTAGTAGACAGACAGCACATCACTTTCCAAGCATGGGCACCTACAAATATTAGGCTTTTTTTTTCATTATGCAGTCCTCTTTCTTGTGCCACACACCACCCTCCAGACAGAAAGTAGAAGTGTGAGTTAATGAGTTAATGAGTTAAATGATTCTGACATGTTAACAGCTTTGATAGAATGGCTCTATTAGTCTCTCTTTCTATAGAGATTTTCACTACAAAGAAATGAACCAGGCCAGAGCCAAAACCCTAAAGAGGCTACAGTCATTACTGTTTTGCTGTGAAACTATGATGCTAAATTTAGATTCAGAGAAAACTTGAGGGGTTGAATTGTAGAAGTATTAAAGTGCTATTATATGTAATGATATTTTGCCCTCACTCTCAGCAAGATGAAAGAAAACAGTTTTAATCTAAAAGTGCTACACACCATCATAAAGCAGATAAAGAAGCTGCGCAATATCAATATTCGTCATCTTCAGAAATCTTTAGGAACTTTCTGCAGGAACTGATCCTGTTTAAGAGTCAAACTTATAAGCCAAAGTAAAAAGCCAGTTCTGTTTAACAAAAGTCATTGTCTGAAACCGCATCGATTTTGTTAAAGTGCTTAGAAATTGCTACTGCTATTTGTCGAACTATCAGAACCTAAACCAAAATGAACCCCTGAACCCTCAGCTTAGAAAAAAACACAAATTTCACATTCACTCACTAAATAACTTGACGTTCAATTTCATTCCAGCAGGTCACCTCACTTTCATGGTAAACACAAAACAAAAAACAAACCTCATTACACAAACTCCAGTGCAGACTAATGACCCTGTCCTTTGTGCTTCTAAAGTCCTTCATCATGCGCTTTGGCACATGTATTGTCCATTGTCTCTCCTTCAGTGCTGCTGTCCGTCCATGCCAGCTAGCTGCTTGTTTGCTATAAGAAGAAAAAGAGCGTGATCTAGTGAGAGACAGATGGGCGCAGAGAGAGGAAAGCCACTCTTTTGGAGGATCTCAATGTCTCAGCTGCTTTCATCCACCAGCTTGGCTCCATTGATTCCGCGGTAGGTGATTCTGCTCGGTCGCACCAGGACGCCATGGCCAGGCCGGCAGCTGAAGTAACGCCGGGAGCCAACAGAGCCATCGTTCTTCCCCTTTGCACTGCGCAGCTCCAGGCCCAGCCACAGGCCAGGGGCAAAGTCAGCAGTGCCAAGGTAGCGGATGGTGCCCATCTCATTGGCACTGCTGAGCAGGACTTGCATGCCCAGGTGCAGTCTGACAGCGCCATCCGAGCCCGAGGAGCTGGTGGTCCCTCCCACGCTGCTCGGCCCTCGAGGAGATGCTCCAGCCGAGCTGAGCGAACCCCAGCCAGAACTCAATGTGCTCCAGCGCCGACGCACACCAGATGACTGACTGCTGCGGAATCAAACACACGACAAGCAGGACAAAACAAGAAAACAACAGCAAGATCCTGATTAAAAACAGAGGCGCTTATTTATTCGCTTAACCTTGTGTTTTATTTCCATTTGCCAGTTTTTCAAAGCAAGCAGTTTTATTAAATATTAAATATATGTGTGATTAGACTGGATTATGACAAAGGGACATATAAAAATATTCTATCTATCTCTCTCTTTCTCTCTCTGTATCTATCTATCTATCTATCTATCTATCTATCTATCTATCTATCTATCTATCCAGTCATAGGCAAAAGTCTGAACTATATGTTTTGTTGAATTTCGGTGTTTCATTTAGAAAAAAATCAACAAAACATCATTTGCCCAGGGAGCCAAAACTTTTGCATATGACCATCGAGCTGTCTATTAATCAATTATGGGGTCCAAAAGTCTGAGACCACTATTAAAAACGCTTTTATTTTGCATTCCCTTCTTATTTAATACAAAGTTCGGTAACACTTTGTATGAATGTCACATTTGTAAGCATCTATAAACACATTTATAACATGTTATAATGTATTCATAAGGCATTATAAACATGGTTATAAATATTTTTAAAAAAGAATTACACTGAATTACACTTTATAGCCATGTTTATTGTGCATTATGAACTGTTAATATAATGTATTATAAATAGTGTTAATAACATGTTATACTGTCAGTGCCAAAGAAGTCAGTCCCAGCTTGGAGAGTGTAAAGTAAAGACAAATACCAAGCTAACGGTGGTGTACATTATCTTTCCCACATTGAGTAAAACACTGATGGCAGCCCTAGTTTAAACTCTGACATTTGAAGCCTGTAATGTGCTTTATTGTGAATGTTTTAGTGTTTCAGTAAATCCTTCAGTAAATACTTCAACTTGAAGCCTCACTCTTAACACTGGAGGCTTTAGTACAGCATGCTTCACGCGGACAAATACGACTTATGAGCTCTTATAATTTGTTATGATCAGTACTTATAATGTATTATGTTAACATTTCATAATGCATAATAAGCATGGCTATAAAGTATAATGCATTTTTATAAATATTTATAGTCATGTTTATAATGCCTTATGAATGCATTATAACATGTTATGAATGTGTTTATAGATGCTTTAAAATGTGACATTCATAAAAAGTGTTAACCCCCAAAGTTCTTCATGACAAATCATAATATCAGCATAACAATCTGAGTGAACAGTAGAATTACTGAAATATACATGAATTTCAGAATGTTGTAGTATTAGATTTGTCCCCCTTTTGCTTTAATGACAGTATATTGCAAGCTGGCATGGACTCCATAAGTTAAAGCAAAAGCCTCTGATCAGTAGATCGAATCCACCTGAGAGTCATCTGAACACGAGCTTCACTGGAACAGACAAGAGTAAAAAAAATCTGATCTTTTTACACAAAGGCCTGAACATGTTTAATGTCACCAATTTGCTTAAATTTGAGTAGTAACTTAGAAATAGTGCAAAATCCTGAACATTTTTTTCTTTTTATCTTTCATTTTCTTTTCATTTTTCTTTTTATCTTTCATTTTACTTGTTATAACTTTTCCTTAATCACAGATTTCGCAGTCTCAGACTTTTGGACTCTGCTGTATCTACCTGGCCTTACCTGTGCATTTGAACCGATGTGCTTTCTACTATAATCTGTAGAACATGCAAACATGATAATGATAACCTGCCACTGTGGAGAAACAAAACTTAACAGGAGAAGGAGAGAAGGTTTCTATTCACCTGTTGATCATAATTTTTAAACACAATGTAAAAAGTTCTTGGAGTTTTTAAATCGCGACAGCAATAATACACAGTGCTATACAAACATCAGAGAAAATGAAATGTAAAGCCATTTATCTGGGCCATGTGCTTTTATTAGAATAAACACAAACAAATAAACAAAATAAAGTTCTATGTTTTATTTCCAAATCTCTCCTCAAGGAAGCTCAGTATTTACAGTTTCCATTTAATACCTAACTGGGTTAATCAGTCCTTCATTAAATTAAATCAGGTGTGCTGCTGTTACATATATCAATAACATATCAATAACTTGTTTTACTGTAAAGACACTAATTACAGCTGAGATAAATAAATGTAAACACTTTTCTTGGCTGCCTAAGACTTTTTTTTAAGACTCTATGTTCACATTTTAGTGAATTTAATGAAGGGTTTGTGGACACTGTTATTTATTTCTTACCGGTTAGCTTGATTCTTTCGATTTGGCTCTCGCTGTGTGGCAATGGCTGAAGAGGTGCTAAAACTACGACGGATTCCTGGACAACAGAAGAATGAAAATACACTGTAATTTTTGTAAATTATCTTTCAAACCACGAGATTACACTGACGAGAAAAGCAGACAGGCTACCAAAAGCAGCTCACCGCTGAAGGTGTGATTGTGCCGGGAGGAGGTCAGTTCTGACAGGCAGTCTACAGATCCATGGATCCTGGAAGGAACAGGAATGTCCAGATTTAATAACTACAGAAGATACTGCAGTGTTTTATAAACATACAGCCACAGGGTGCTATATCTTCTGCAGCACATTATACACACAATAGTGTCCGGCAAGAATTCAGTGACATTTATTTAAGAGCACCAACTTGGAATGCACTGCTATAAAACTTCTGGGCCTACGCCAGGGATCAATACTGCAATGTCTGCACCTGCCAGTAGCCAGGCCACTATTAACATTTTATCTTTATTATTTTTAACCCTTGTGTGTTGTTGGGGTCTGTGGGACCCATTTTCAACGTTTACCAAAATAAAAAAATGATGCGATTTATTATTTCATTTCAACTGCAGATTCATTTTCTGTGAAGAACTTGTAAAATAGCACATTTCAGTGCCTTCACACTGTTCACACCTTACACATTTATACTACACATGTGGTGTTGGGGTGAACCTGCGGGGAATAAAAATATGGAGGTGCTGTGCTGCTTCACTCTGTTTTCCTGCTGTTAGTGTATGTGTAAGTTTTTGTATGTGTGTGTGTGTGTGTGTGTGTGTGTGTGTGAGGGTGGACAACATGGACAGGCTGCTGACTGGCTACAGCTGCTAAAGGAGAACCCGACGCTGACCACTTATGATATTTTAAACATCTGGTATTTTTACATAAATTGTTATGGCTGTATTGATTTTTATATTACAATAATGGGGTGGGTTCACCAGACCGCTGAGTAACAAAAACAAACACCAGACAAGGGTTTAGCATAACTATGGAAAAAAAAATAGATAAAATTTATCAAGTTCAATGATTTTGCTTTGAAGACAGAGCTATCTAAAATTAGCTTTACTGTATATGTACATGCAAATACATTACCATGTCAATCATGAGAAATTTGAATAATGCTCTGCTGACACTGAAGTGATCACACCTTCTTAGAAATAGCCATATGCATGCAAAATGATCATAGATTTACTATTGAAATATTATTTGCAAAATCTTTCAAGAAGAACATGAGGAGAGAATACATCCCACTTCACATAACAAGCTGCCTGGCTGTGTACAAAGCTACATATGTAAGCGACAGTCACTTAGCTTCACTAAGGTTAATAACTGTGTAGAACACAGGGAAGGAGAGAAAACACTAAATCTGTCCCATCTTGTTTGCAAAAGGGAAGAAAAAGAAAAAAAAACTCTGCAGCCAGTTTGCTAAATGGGTACTGATCAGTCTCTGACAAGATGAAAAACAGTGAATGAGCAAGAAAGTGGCTGCTTTCCCAATCTCCGTTTTCGCTCACAATATCGGAGCTTTCCATTAGTTTAGCTGTGCTTAGCTGGCTGTTCCGTCTCTCTGGCTGCCCTGAGGGTTAATTAGGAAAAAAAAAGCACAGAGCTCCTGACAATGCAGCGCTTATCACTCAGGGCTGCTGGAGATGGCTCTTACGGCAAGAAGAAGCACAGAAGCAAGAGAGTGGTGCTGAATGGAGATCAGGCTTTGTGGATGGAGACGAGGAGACTTTATGCAGGATGAGGGGCGTAAACAAGCCGAGTGATGGAGCTGAAGAGAGAGATAAGGGTAGCAGGAGAGGCATGAAGGGTAGAGGGCAACCACCATCAAAGAGAAGCAAAGAAAAACATGAAAAAAGGCAAACTGAAAGGACAAGAAATAAAAAGGCACGGAAGGGTATGGATTAGAGCTGTATACCTCCATCCTGACTATGCCTCTCACAATTACATAATCACATGATCGCAATTATTTTTCCATGTTGCTACCTTTCACAATCATACATTAAAGGGAATTACATGACTTTTACAGAAACACATTGCTAATCAATTGTTAAGAGGTAAACAAAGTCATTCAGACTGGATTGATATGAAAAACCTCAGTCTAGAGTAACTTTATGATTTTCTTTACAAAATGGTTGTGATAGGAACCAGGGGTCACAATGTCTACAGCACAAATTCAGCCATAGTATTTACCAGTCAAAATGAGTTTTTATATGTAATGTTGACAGTAAAATAGTGGTAAATATAAACAATTTTTTCTTCTCATTTTATTTGCATTTATTCTACATGAAAACAATTTACTGACAAATGTCATGGGTCTTGCAAAACTAGTAAAAACTCCTGAATAGTGCTATAACATGGTCAGAGGGCAGCGGTGAGTAATGTTTGTTTATTTGATGTTTATTAGTAACGGCTTTAGAGGGCGGCAGTGAGTAACTTTTGTTTATTTGATTTTTGTTGATAACACCTTTAGAGGGCGGCGGTGAGTAATGTTTGTTTATTTGATGTTTGTTAATAACAACTTTAGAGGGCGGCGGTGAATAATGTTTGTTTATTTGATGTTTGTTTATAACACCTTTAGAGGGCAGCGGTGAGTAATGTTTGTTTATTTGATTTTTGTTGATAACACCATTAGAGGGCGGCGGTGAGTAATGTTTGTTTATTTGATGTTTGTTAATAACACCTTTAGAAAGCGACTACTAGGTATTGACAGAGCGGAGCTACTAAGTAAACTAAGCAATGACAGCCAGGAAGCCAGATAGCTAATCAACAAATTTGGCCACTTTAGGTTTGTACTTCATAGTTGCACACAATGAAAAAAGGATAATTAAACTGTTAATTGCAATTGTTTACATGGCAATTAATCATCAATTAAAAATTCGAGACCATGTCAGGTCCTCACAACAATTCAAACTGATTTTTAGGAAACAATCTGATGCATCATGAAATTTCATTTTTTACCACAAACTGTCTTCACTTGATTATTTTGGTACGATTCAGAATTATTTTTAAAAAATACACTGAATAAACATGACTGGAATAACTACTTACACAGTAGTTCACACAGCACAAAATATGGATGATAAAACAACACACTTCAGGCTCTACTGAATTTCCAGTAATACTTTACTTGAACCCTGCTCCATACCAGATTCCATACGCTGTCATGTTGCAGTGTTTTTCCCTGCTCTAACACTCTCAGTTCACCTTAGGAAGGGCTTTTTAATTAGTTCATTAGCTGTATCAGGTGTGTTGGGAGCAGGGAGAAGCTCTAAAATGAGCAGGGCACTGCTACTCCAGGACCAGAAACGATAAGCACTGCTATAATCAATTATAATCAATCAAACAGCAAGGATGCAGTTGAATTGCCAAACCTCTGGTCATCAACTAATTATCAAATAATTAGCTACCAGCATCTCCACATATAAAGCACTGTCAGTATATGCTGTACAATATTAAGTCGCCAAAAAGTCTCAGTGGGAGGCTGAACCAGAATGGTAGCGTAAATCTACAGCTACGTCTCCCTGAGCCTAAAGTCTGAAGCATTTGAGCGCTCCAACACACACTCTGTAAAACAAATCAGCCTGACTTAAAAGAAAAAACTCTTTCTCTGAAGGAATATCAGTGACAGAAAAATATGCAGAACACTCTATACAGTCTACACAGCCATTAGCATCAAATGAAGTGGGACGTTCCACATAAATACTGTGTGAATTACTAATAGCTGCTTGGTGTCTGTTTACACCCTACACGCCTCATTTTTGAGCAATACATCACATCAATTGCTGGGGTTGCATGATTATTCAAGTATGGGGTCAAAGAAATCATTGAAAATAATTCGTTGCAGTCTTATCAAGACTTTCAATGTTCAGCAGGTGAAGCAGTATATAGCGTATATACTATGCAAAAAATCTGAGACTATCCTTCATTTAATTAATTTCCAGTCAAAACGGCCATTTAGTACAGCATCAGGTGAAAAAGCAGAAAATATATTTCATATAGTTCATTCTTAGAAGTTGGTTGCATTTTCTAATCCCAATTAAATTTCAGACTCGTTAGTCCATAAAACCTTATCCACATCTTTAATGTCCAGTTTCAGTGCTCCAGTGCAATTTTCTTCTTTTTTGTCTATTTCCTTTTCTCAGTGAGGCTTCTTGACGGCTACGCAACCTTTCAGACAGGGGAGAGAGTGGAGCTTGATTTTCTGCACTCTCTTAAAGATGAAAGCTTTAAGTACCGTTTAACTGAAGGGGAACATAAAGGCAGTGACTCCTTCCTTTGGGAACAGCTTTTGTTCGGAGGACGCAGCTGTAAGTGGCTGGTTTTACTACAGGAAGGATGGCAGAGTTAGAGAGGCAGTAGATGCACAAGAGTGGACAAATTTAATACTGAAAGATCCGATTTTAGATTTAGTTGTTAAAGCTTTTGTGTAAGCTTTTCTGTTAAATATGTGTTTCCTTCTTTTTTGATGATGACAAATGAATAACTTGTAATTAATAGCTGATTTGTTTGGTCTTTTTCTTTTTGCACAGTACTGTATTTCACAGAATGTTAATATGACAAATGCAATAAAAACAGCTTTAAAATATGTTTAAAATTGGTCGATTTACTACTGCTGTTCAATTAAAAATAAAGCTAAGGATGGCTCCCTAGATAACACTTAGTACATGAACACTAGGGCCATAACTGAAATGATATTTCAGTTGCATAAAGTCAACCTTATCCACCACATATTAGTTACATTTTCCTGAGACAGCCTATTTTAAGCACTTCATTTGGGTCATTTGACTTGAATCATTCTTGTCTAAATGTCACAGATGCAATCTAAAGATGAAGTCTATACAAGTCTAGATGAAGAATAGCTCACTGACCCTTGAGGAAAAAAATTGAGGCAACATTTGCAAAAATGTTTTATGTCCTGGAAAAATCCTTCTTCGATAATTCAAACTGTCCTCTATTAATACTGTCATCATACTGAATCACTCCTGCTGTACTTAAACATATTCAATGACAGAAAACTACATTACCTCCGACATTATCCTTCTATTTTTTAGAGAAAATAGAAGTCTGCTCACAATGCAAGCATATCCACCAACAAAAACTACTATATTTTCTCACTAGTAACATATTTTAAATCATATGAGACACAAATGTATGAGCAGGTATGCAGGTATATGAGCATGTGCCCACTTACCGCTGTACGCGCGAGGGTGGGGCGAATACTCCGTGTTTGGGGGGGCAGCTGAAATACTTCACTCCTCCAACAGAGCCATCATTCTTCCCACTGGGCTTATCCAGCTCAATCCCCAGCCAAAAGCCTGTGGAGTGCACATGCACAAATATACACCTGACATAATACACCAACACGACCAAGAAACTGGCAAAATCTTAAATCACTGCCTTATTGCTACATTAAACAAGAGTTTTGACACAGAAGCAATAATGAAACCCTGCTGCAGCTTTTGGTAGAGCTTTGGGTTTTTGATAGCTGTCAATAAAGAACAATACTGTTTACAAGTTAGAATAAGCCACGCCCACAGCTTACGAATAAAAATCATAATAATAATATAGTAGGTTGAGTCTCCTACTCAGTAAATGCGCAGGCAAAAGGAATGACAACTGTAGTGCAGACAGACATGCAGGTTGGCTCCTTATTGTTGTCAAAGGAAAAAAAAAATCAGGACACATTTTTCCACACAGTATGCTCTAACAGGCTAAGGCAGAAAATCCACTTTTCTACAGACTAAGGCGAGCCGGGCACTTCTTCCATCACTCTGCTCTGCTAATGCAAAAACTTTCAAGTCTGACCTCAGATAAGGACAGGAGTTTATATGAAGAGTGAGCTGTCACACTCTAGAGCTTTACATTTTTACCTTGAAAATGAAAGAAAGAAAAAAAGAAAGAAGAAAAAGAAGAAGAAGATTTGAAAACTTTGAATAAATACTACACACACACACACACACACACACACCACACACACACACACATATATATATATATATGTATATATCGCTGTTGTCGGAACAAAACCTTGCATCTCCAAAATGGTAACTTTACAGGAGAAGGAAAAAACTTACTCTACTTTTAATGTAAGTCAATGGAACCAGACGGTTTCCAAGTCATTTTGAGTTGTTCCTTTTGGTCCATTCATCATGAAATTTACATGTTGTTGAAATTTGCCAACAGGCATTTTCAAATTATGACAAAAACTGAAAAATGACAAAAATGGAGATACAAGATTTTCTTCCAACAGCAGCAATATATATATATATATATATGATACACACACACACACACACCAACACACACACACACACTGTTGCTGGTGGATTATGTTTAGCATCCATCAGCATATGAAATGCAATCCAGATATGTAGTCCAGTATTTAGCATACCAGAACCCCTGCAAAAATCCTGCCCTGCTGTTTAAATACACCTTATAAAATGGCACTTAAAGTGATATTTTCTGAGACATTGTTTAGCTCCTTCAGATGCTCACAGTAGGGCTGTTAGTATGCTGTGTGGAGGCTATGTTTCTGAAAGAATAAAAGCTTCACTCATAAGTGCTTCCAGTCCAGGAAAAGAAAAACGAGTAAAAATAGCACCAACCTGTGCCAGATGTGAAGATGACATGGGCAGCCTGCATGTCTATATAAGCACCATGATTTAAACATGGGATAGACTCCCTTTCCAAACCGTCTAAGCATCTTACTTGATATTGCCAAATATAATCCCAAAGCACAATGTATGATTTCGTGTCCTTCGTGTTCAGAGCAGGACATAAATCTGGGGTTAGAGACTCAATACTTTCAGAAGCAGCACAGATCTTCTTACAATGTCTACTGTCTATGTCTAACATAACGTACATCGTCTATGTCTAACAGAGAGCTTGGCAGACTGACAGCTTTCAAATCCCACTCTAAGACTGATAACTATGAGTGTAATTCAGTCAGTGTTGAAGAAAAATGTGAAGAGCCACTGAGTGAACCATACCTGGGGCAAAGCTGGTCTTGCCATAGAATCGGACCACTCCTGTCCTCTGTCCCACCACGAGGACACGCTCGCCCAGACGCACCTCTGCAACCTCACACACTGAGCTGCTGGCTGAGGGAGTCCTGCTGCGTGCTACCCCTGAGGCAAAGGAGAGCCAATCTTCATCTGTCACACTGTCATAATATCCTTTCTCCGCTACAAACATGTTGTTATGGCAATAATAATCACTCAACCAACGTCAGAAAGCATCCGTGTCAGCCACGGCTCCATTATCTACAAACACTGCTTTAAAATCATCAATAATGCCATAATCACAGTGGCAGCAGCAATTATCATCGGATCCGTCTGCGCCACTCGTGTGGGCTGAGTGGGATAAGTGCTTAAGTCACAAATTTACTTGCGACTATTTGCACTGCTGCAGATATACAGTGGGAAATGTATGTACCCCTTATCTGTGTTGCATAACACAACTGGAAACATGTTTTGGGAGGGGGAGATAAGCACTGGCAGGACTGTACCAGACTGTGGGGTGCCGCTGAGGGAGCGGAGGACTGGCGGAGGAGTAGATCGGGTGCTGGGGGGCGTCCGCTCCTGCCGTGGCCGGAGGGGGCGCCTCTGTCGAGGAAGGGGGAGTGGAGGGCGTCGGCCAGGAGTCTGTCTGGAGTCCAGAGAGGAGGAGGATGTGGAACAGCTCCGTGAGAGACCACCTGGAAAGGACAGAGGAAACCATTAAAGAAAGAGTGGCATCCTTGGGTTAGAAGTTATGGTTCAAATGAGGTGTGGAGCAAAGTACTAAGTGGCCACTGGCATGACTGATGTACAACTAGAGCCTAAGGTTAAAAATATGGTTTGGTCAAAAACCTAATTAACACAGTTTTCCCATTATTCCAGATTTAGTCGCCCAAAGCATGTTTGGTGTCCAAATTTTGTGTATTTAGTTTCGAACTGGAGCTAAGTTAAAGCAATGGTTCTGCAAAAAAGACAAATTTACACATTTCACATTACATTTTCCTCTTATCCCAGATGCAGTCGATCAGCCAAGACAGGTTGGGTGTCCAAATGCTGCCTGGGCAAGGCTGTTGCATGATTAGTTTAGCACTGGAGCTGCGGGGCTAATGTGGCTAACACATACTAGAAGTCAATAGTCACCCAAATCTCTTCTGTAAATACATCCCCAAAACGTCTCTCAACCCGCTCAGCCATACCTGTGTGAGCTATAAAATTAACAAAAGTTCACTGTGTTGCTGAATGCAGTAGGCAGCCATTATGGAAAACAACTCGAATTCCAACTCCTTTTTGTGTGCATGCATATCTTGCAGGCATATGGACGCCAAAGATTTCTGTGTATATTTATTAATATAATAACAGACTTGAACCAATCAGCCACTTCATTATGTTCACCTCGTTTCTACACTTTACGCATTTTATCAGCTCCACTGACAATATAGGTGCACTACAATTACAGACCGCAGTTCTGTTTCTCTGCATACTTTGTTAGCCCCCTTTTACCCCATTCTTCAATGGTCAGCCCCCAACACAAGAGCAGGTGGACCAATAAGGTAGGTGTGTAACAGAGTGACCACCACCACGTATCCCTCCCTCCTCACCAAAGAACAGGTATAGTCTGCTCGCAAATCCTCAGTTACTTCAGAAATCCATTTAGGAGCAGCATGTGAACAGCCAGTATCAACAAACATCACAAAAACAGCAGCATTCACAGATAGAAACTCACACACAAGCAAATCTGTTACCTTCCACACCTTTCAGTGTTTTGAGTTTTGCAGGCTAATGTGAAGCCATAAACATATGGGTTTACAGCCCTTCGACATCATCTCCCTCTCGTGGCCATGCAGACATTTGGCATCAAGGGAGAGTTGGAACATATTTGTCCCTCATTTAGACTAATAAAAAGAGAAAAGCAGAACAGATGGCACCAACCCAGAAGCAGCGGCCCAAATTTAGAGTATAAAATCGATTCTGCACTCATTCTGCTACAAAATTCATGTTCCACTGTAACAAAAGACAATAACCTAATGCCATTACACTCAATGCATTCAATGTGCATTCAACAAATTAACTTTATTATATTTTTCCCCATCTCTTTCATCTTTCTATACAGGCAGATCAGACAGGAAAAAGCCAAGGGAAAAAAATTAATGTCAGGTCACATTTCTCATACAATGCATTAAGTGAACTTCAAAGTCTGTGTTTGTGCTTCTGCCAAAAGTTAATGGAGCAGAATGATAGAAAAGTGTGTGTGTGCCTTGGCAGGCCTGGGTAGACATCTAAAAAAAGGGACCTAAACCCCTCATCTACACCACTTAAAAGAGCCCGATCCAGCTCAGAAGGGGGAGGCAGGCCAGAGCTCTAAGCCCTCCAAAACGCATTTGGGACAGGGTCTCATTAAGCCTTCACATTCAGGGACCTTCATGGACCAAGGAGTTCATTAATGAAACAAGTTAGAAGCTAATGCATAACTATGTGCCATGTCTTAAGGAGCACAGTGTTGCATAGGAAAGCTTGTCAGGAAAAGCTGTTTGAGCCCACCTGATTAAATGCCTTTCAGAATTCATGAACTAAATATAGTCTGTAGACCCCCCCCCCACCCCCAGGAGATTCTGATGGCCTTTGTACAGCACGTTAATTACAGCACATTTATGGCATGAAGAATAAGGTGCACGTCATTCTAAACTGAAGTTAAGATCCATTCTGTCAAAAACGTTTTCATGTTTTTTTTGGAAGCTTTAATAGCAAAACGGAGGTGAAAGGAGAATAGCAGAAAGTTTTTTTAATCAGTACTGATAGACTTTCTTTTTTATCAGCCCTGCCTTTGGAGATGATGCCTGCTCTGCTTCATTCTATCAAGAGAGCATTCTTTATCACGACTTCAGATAAACAGTTAATTTTTAATCAATCTGGCAGAATGGCACTCAAATTGACATTGTCTCTCCCGTGTGAATACAAAGACACACTGCCTCGCTCGGCTACTTGCAGTGAGTTAGCAGGGTATCTGGGTCATCAGCTTATTGAGCTAGACTGAGATATGCAAGTTGAGAAGTCAGTAATGTGATCATAGGTGTCAAATACGGTGGGGGGGGGGGGTGCTGGGTTGTTGACCCCCCAAAACTAAAAAAGGGGACAATACCTGCCTAATCCTAGTGCAAAGCTTGAGAAAAACCATATTAGTAAAACTGCAAAGAACAGTCTAAAAACCCGTGCTGTTTTCCATACGTGTGTGTTTCACTCATGGGTTCTCTCCCCATCATGCAAGGTTACCAAATTCAGTTTTTCTGACAAATCCAGCTACTAAGTAAGTAAGTAAGTGAGTAAGTAAATAAATAAATAAATACTATGCCTAGTATTTCAGCTGATCACTTGTGCTGGGGGGTAATACTTTACAGTAACGTGATCATAGGCACCAAAACAGAGGGGGCATTGGGATGTTGCCCCCCCCGAATAAAAAAAGGGGGGCACCGTCGCCCCAATCCTAGCACAAAGCTTGAGAAAAGCCATGTTAGTGAAACTGCATAGAACAGTCTAAAACGGTTGCTATAGTTAAATTTAACAGGAGAGATTTTAAGCATCCAGGGTTGCTACAGCAACCAGAAAACCGGTGCTGTTTTCCATACGTGTGTGCTTCACGCACAGGTTCTTTCCCCATCATGCAGGGTTACCAAATTCAGTTTTTCTGACAAATGCAGCTAGTATGTAAATAAATAATTAAATAAATAAATAAATAAATACTATGCCTAGTATTTCAGCTGATTACTTGTGCTGGGAAGTAATGCGTTACAGTAGCGTGATCACAGGCACCAAAACAGAGGGGGCATTGGGATGTTGCACCCCCAAAACTAAAGAAAGGGGGGCACCATCCCCTCAATCCTAGCACAAAGCTTGAGAAAAGCCATGGAAGTGAAACTGCAAAGAACAGTTCTTTCCCCATCATGCAGGGATGCCAAATTCACAGGACATACCTGGCTAGGTGGAAATTGTCGCTGGGTATGTTTTTGTTTGGGCTACTTTCTAAATGTACTGCTGCTGCAGAAAAACTGTTTGAAAATGAAAACGAATAATCTTATGAATGTACATTGATTCTAGTGCTGAATAGCTGGTAACCCAATTACACACAGGCTACAGTAAGAGAAGCGGTAGAAGAGTGTGGCTCATTTGGTGGCATTGCTGATAGCCAGTTTGAGGCATCCTAGCATTCTAAACTTGAAGGAGGGCATATAAGCATGTAATATCACAAAACAGATCTTTGTAAGGCGATACCGGTAACTGCTGTCACTGTATGACTTATAACAAACAACATCATTACAAAAGTGTATGATAATAAAAAACAAAATAAATTATTAAAAATGTACATATTTTCACCCACAATTCCCACTCTGATGTCCACATTCCTCCCCCAAATTATACATCTGATGCTGGATTAGGATGTAAATTCAAAATTTTTTTTTGCCCCCCTGACCCCACCTTTGTTTAACCCTAGTGGGTGCCAGTGTGTGTGACAACTTTTTCCTGTAACAAAAAAGTGTAATGCATTACATTATAAATTCTTGTAATCATATGACCATAATTTCCACTCAATTTTCACATACAGACTCATTGATGATTTTGCTACCTGCATTGCTCATTCAGACATGATAAGTTTTCTATGGTGAGGAGGGTTAATACAAGTTTACCACAGGACATCTGTAATGTTTATGACCAATGGGAGTGGCTACTCGATTTACGCAGTGCCTTTACTCCAGAAAAAAAGTAGAAAACATTTACCTTATTTCATTTAACCTGTCTTAAGTGAATGTACTGTGTCATTAGCTCGGGAATCCACAGCCAACAGTCAATATAATAAAATCAAACTTTTTCTCATTTTTTTATTGTTTTAATGTTTTGAGCTGTACAACTGGCACACAGGTAACTGCTTCTTCAAGCGCCACCATACTTAAGAAACTCTGTGAGTTTTAGAGAGTAATGCCATTACTATTTTTAAATGAAAATGCTTTCTGTGCTCAGGCAGTTGGATTGTACCTGAAAAGTAGCTTGAAATGTAAAATTGGCTGTTTGTTGCACAAATAACTACATCTAATCAGGAGCCCACCACAATCATCAAGCTTCAACCATTTCTCAATCCATAACCAAAGACTTGAGAGCTATCTGTAATATAAATAAATAAATAAATAAATAATGAAAAAAAAACACAAATTGGACAAAAAAAATATTGAATTAAAAAAAATAATTCAAGTCAGAACTACAGCACAACATTTTGGGCACCGCAAAACCAAACAAGCTGCATAATTCTGGAAGAAAAAAAAACAACAGACTTTGCTTTTCTTAGTAATCAACTCTAGCCATGCTGACCAAGGAAAACCGCAAGGATAGGAAAATTACAATTCATAGAAGAAGAAGAGGAAGAAGAAAAAACAGCTTCTAAACTGTCATCATCTCTACATCCACAGCACAGAAACAATCTACTATTCACACAAGCCTTCAGCAGAATAATTAAAAAGACCATCTCTTATCACCTCTCTTCCTTTCATCAGTAGCTTGCAGAAACAGAATTGCAGAATAGAATTGTGTCAAACCAAACAAACAAAAAAACATGACAGATCAGATAATGATAAACAACTTCTGACTTAATGGAATAGTTGAGGAGCGGAGAGGATCCAAAGAACTAGGTCGAGGTTGGCACTGCTGAGGAAGCACA